CAGTGTCATGCTGCCACCGGAAGCCGCCGGGTTGGTTAGTGCGTTTGGTGGCAACCACATGCCGTAGCTGCACGCTGTGTAAACACAGTAAGTGAGTATCTCTAAGAGACTTGAACTTGTCGTTGGATCGGTCGGGATAGACCAATGGGGAAGCTTGCTCAGTCAACAAATTTGCAACCGTTAGTTTTCTTCATATGCGGTTGCTTGAATTGAAGAGTTTACGAAGCTAAGCTGAGGACGTGTAACGGAGATCTTGAACAAATGTTGTGGGATCACAATGCAGGCCTCGGAAAGAGTCAGCCACACCATCAGATAAACGATGCGTTGTATACAAAACATCTGAATGCAATTTGAACGTCAACTACGTTGACATTTATAAATTTTAATCAGATTTTTGTTAAGACATGTGGCATCCAATTATTTAACAACTAAATGGTTGCTTTAGAAACTGTTGCCAATAGTGTGGCAAGGCAGACTGATTAACAAGGCTCTGCCTACAGGGAATAAAAAGGTGACGTGCGAAATTCTATGCGGCGGCGTTTAACATGGGTCCACGAAGTTTTTCAAGGAAACAGTAGTTCTAGGCAGCAAGAATAACTTTTGCAGCGAAGGTCGTTTTGAGGCTATAATAGGTTTGACCATGAAGGTCTGTAGTCATACACCGTAATAGAAGTAAACGACTATCACACATTCATTGTTTAGATACAGGTTGGTGTGTCTACGTTAAATGGAGCAGTGGCAATGGCATTGCCAGTTGGGTCTAGCGCGTGGGCTTTCTTGCCTAGCCAGAGCGCGCAGTAAGATGACTGCTCCCAGCCTATACTATGACGTGTTTGGTCAGTCATGCGCAAAATATGCGCTGCTAATTCATCCTACAGGGTGCGCTTTCTTGCCTACTCAAAGCGAGTAACAGGCTGCGTGCGCGCCGTATGTCGCATGCCGGGCAAAATAGGCCAACCACGCACGCACGCGTTCCGAATTCCGCCACAGCTCTTTCCCTGTGCAATACGAGCTGCCAGAATAGCTCAGTATGGAACTGTCTTACTCACCGTCTGGCTATTGAACAATAGCATGACAAGGAAACGGTTGGTGAACCAATACTACTGATCGCTTCAGTTGATAATTTGCTTGTCTGTCCGCACTCGTAGAAAGCTAAGCTTTTCGTGTGCTTTGGGTCATGTGGTCCGGTACTGGCGGTCAGGCGGTGTAGTTTTGGGACGGGTCTAAACCGTTCGTTTGATAAGAGTCTTTCGATTTTGCTCCGTCGCCGTTCATCAGCCGCACAGGTCAGGGTGAGATTGGAGCGCACTAATTTGCCGACCCACCAATGGCATGCAAGTCTATTGTATTTACTCACCCACGCATGTCTGGGTTGTGAATACAACGTGAGGACGCAAATCGGTGCATGTGTCCTTGAAATATGTTAATTACCCCCGGCGATTTTGACACCGGTTAGTTCAGCTTGGGTCGCTGCCGAGGTTTTTGGCTGGTGGTTTGAAACATCTCGACAGCAGTGCATAATGCATTGGCTACCGTGTTCAAATGTTGGTGGCGCTTCGACAGTTGCTTAATGTTATCCCAGCAAATGATAAAAGGGTTAGTGACAACGCTGTTGTAGACTGAATGTTACCTTCACATAAACCACCTTAGCAAAACAAGAATTCATAACAATTAGACGGTGAAAATCTCTCAGTAGAAGAATTCCAAAAGGGTTGCGGTGTCGTTATTGAATTTGCCATGAGCAATCAGAATAATCTCCGTCGCCAAATTGTTACACTCAACCGAAATCAGAACAACAGTATTGCAAATGGAGGTTTAGTAGAAGCAATGGCAATAGTACATCTGCAGTCCACACTGGGTACAAGATCACTGTTTAGTTTTACGCAGTTCACATGTTTTAGCTAAGCACTCGCTTTTGAACCAATCAATAAGCATCGCTGGTTAGTCGGGAGATGGACACTCACGCACTAGCGCGCACAATGCAGCTCCACAGGCTAGGTAGTGTAGCATGACCTTGACGCGCTCAACGTCTGTATCAGAATCCTGGAGGATTTCGTCGATGAGCTGAAAGGTTATGTTAGAGGCCACACCAGATACGGAACATCCGGGGGCATAGATGGCAGTTTTGCAGAAATGGTTGCGCATTCGCAGAAGGTGACGGTTGTGAAGAGTTGGAAGCGACAAAACTAGATTGTTGAATGTCAATGCTGTTCCGCAATAGTGGAGGAGAGAATGTGAGACCTGTAAAGGTAACTGATGGTTGGTGTAGCAATGTATGGGTGAAATTGTATGAATGTGGTGTACAGGTCAGACAGCTGGGATGGGTCAACAGAGGCTGCCCCGATAGAATCAGTTGTAGCAATAACGGAAGATCCGCTGGCCATGGAACCCGGCACAGAGGACGTAGTGGAACAGACCAAGGTCTGCGCTGCGGGACGTTCATAGGATCCCATCCGCCACTGTGTAGGGTAGTACGTGGGATAAGGTGAAGATGATGGAGAGATGACACGCCTAGCAGTGTGGGGTTGGGAAATAGAGAAACGTCTGTGATGGGGTGACTTCTACAGAAATGGTGGCTTAAAATCTTCACTACCCTGGTAGAGGGATGAGGCAGTCGACGGATTGCTGGAGTTAGGGGGGTTTGAAGTTCGCGACAGGGAGTCTCGGGAAATGCGGGAGTGGTTGGGTGGATAATGGGCGTCCCATGTGGACTCATGGATCGATCAGGAATGGGTGTTAAGCTCGTCCACCAGACGAATACATTCCTCATCATTCCTCCTCGTCCATGGCTGTAGTCGAACCGCGGTTCGAGATTCAATTCTGTCGTCATAGGAGGCAGGGTGTTTCCATCGGATGTGGTTCCAAAGTGCCGTCCTAGATTGATAACTCCGATCACATGAAGGGCAAGTGGTTATTGGGCGGAGTTGGGATTTGTCCGGCAGGTTGCGTCCATAGCAAAGAGCTACTTTAAGAGACGCGAGTAACCAGTGAGCTCGGACCATGAAATAGAAATACTGCTAAATAACATAAGAAGACAACAGTTGCTCCTAGTAAAAATTCGCTAGAACGCGTGATATAGAACAAAAACAGCCTACTCGAAGCAACATGCCAACAGAGCCAGTGGTAGTGGTGTGCGAAGAAATAGTAGGAATAAAATCTAGGTTAGGTAGCAATCATTCAAACACGCTATTAAGACATGCAAGCATAAAAGTAAAACAGTTGAACAAACCAATAAGATAGTAATGAAATAGGGTAGTGGAAGTGTCCCAGGTAAGTAGAATGGTTGGGTCATTCATTACATTTTGGGTCTGTGCAGCCTACGGGGTCAATTAAGTGTGTATTAGAAACAAGAGAAACAAAGATCCAATAGTAGGCGAAGATATCACGCATTTGATATGATACAAAGATGTTCCTATGTTTGTCGCAGTATCAGGAGAATAGTGATCACCAAAGGCTATAATGGAGACTCGAAGCAAGAAAAGGGTCTTACATTCGGGGATCGTGTAGAAAAAATATACGTAGATAAAGTAAACCTTCGTGCAAAATGGATAGAACAGAATGCGTGGATTGCGGTGAGATAAATTCCGAACGCATAAATATTAGCGGAAAACCTTTAAAAAATTAACACAGAAAGAAAAGCAAATGCCATTAAAAAGACACACAAGGTCTCGAAAGCAAGCTTTATAAAGATTTCTCCTAAACCTGTGGGCGGATATTAGACTTTAACGAAGCGCGTATGTAAGGGGAAAAATCCAGGTGCAAAAAATATAAAAATAGATGCTGTGAAAACTATGAAAGGACTTAATATCCCGTAGCTCCTCAACCGATGCACGAATTGATATTTATTAGAATGTAATAAATCGGAATACTTGTTGCTTGGATGATCTATTCAGATTTTGTTCTGCTCTCCGAGCTGAACAGTTTCGTTGCAAACGTTTCATCACCAATCATGGTTACTCCTTCAGTGCGTAATAAGCCAACTGACTTGTTTTGTCGACTCTTACAGACGAGCGATGAATCATTAAATGCTCTATAAATGACATGCAAATGACCGCTAAATACTGTGGGTAAGAAGTAAAAAGTAAGCAAAAGGTAGAAAAATGGTACTAAAAACTAGTATGTTTGCCCCCACGGTCCGTATGAAGAAATGAAACACAAACAAATAGAGTTAACAAAATTACATCAAGATGGTACAGGGAGACAAGAAAATATGGCCTGAGCTCAAAGTTTGACGCCCACTTGTGCCGCTCACCCACATTATATCGAGATTTCAATTTTTCTAGTCACTTCGTGGAAAAATAGTCCGATTTTATTGCAAACTCGGATCCGCAAAAGAAAATTGTTCGTATGGTAAAAATCTTTTCAGCTGGATGGCGAATGCACGAATGAATTCCAAACTGAACGGGAGCGACCAAACAGCACGCCGGACGCTGATCCCCTTGGTTAAGAGAGTCAGGTTCTGTGACAGGTTGTCACAGTTACACCCGCCGTTTACCCGCGCTTGATTGAGGTTCAGAGAACCGGGCCGAAATCACATTGCGTCTTTACCGGTAAGTGGAGGTGGCAATTATGTTTCACGCGAAATTCACACCAACAAGTTCAAATCGTACGCAATAATTCCTTTTGACTGTGTCCTTGTTTACGGCATTTCGAATCCGATGCCACTGAGCGAACGCTTACTGGCACTCCAAGACCTTTTACTCCAATCCCTTGATGAAACATCCCGTGATGCCTTCAGGGAGTGGCTTGACATGCTGTGTGCTTCAATTTTCCCACACACACATGTCAACCCTCGAAAGACCGTAGGAAGAGACACCTAATTAAAAACAACTGGCAACGCTGGAGAGTACAATTTGGACATATGCAACGTCTGTACTACCCAATACGACGCGATGTTGCTGCGACAATTCTTGATGGACGACGGCGAACAAGCTATATGCAGGAACAGGAGCTGATGCCCGGGATCACCAACTACTGGCAAACAATTCTTTCACACTCACCGAAGTCTGATACCAGGGAGCCACGCCCATTTCCTGCACCAAAGCTACAGTTGTTACATCCACTTTCAAGCGCCGAGGTAACCACTTCCTTCCGACGCATGGAGTTCAGCGCCTGGGCTAGATCGCCTCTCTTTATCCGAGGTCACGCGGATGGATGCCAATTGTATTGTCTGTAGTCCTCTTCGCCATACGTGCACGGATCACTTTTGTTCCTAAAGTCTCTAACCCTTCATTACCAGAACATTTTCGCCCGATATCTGTGACTTCCGTTTTCATCCGCCTTCTTCACCGTATTATTTTGAGAGATACTTCGCTTATCTTTCTTCCGACCGTCTGCAATCCGGTTTCCTACACAGAGACGAATGCATCGAAGCCACCTCCATTCTCCACACCATACATCGCTTTACCCATACAAAACACATTCCTATCTCTTTTGCCTCCATCGATATTTTAAAGCTTTTGATTTTGTTTCCCATGATTCAATACATTGGGCTGCTGCTACCTCCGGTGCTCCACCATTTCTTGTGAAGTACCTGTCGTAGTAGTATTACGCGTCTGCGGTTGCGACTTTCAGTGGTATCACACTAACCTAGCATGAGAATTGAAACAAGGGGACTTGCTTTCATCTCTACTGTTTATTATTATGATGGACGAAGCCCTCGCGAAGTCTCCAACCTCACCGTAGGTCTCTCGCGCCGGCCCGGTTGAGTAGATAGCTTACGCCGACGATGTGATGCTAATTGCCCAAAATTGCGAATCCCTCGCAGTGAGACTACACACGTTTCAAAAAGACCTGCGCCTAATCGGGGTATTCGTCAACCAAATGTAATCTAACACAGTCGATATCGTCATAGATGGCAAAAGAAAGCTAGCGATTTCCGCCACCGAACCACTTGTTTTCAGCGACCTTGTCAGTCCATCCCTACAACCTGCCGAGTGGTTTATGCGTTTTGGACACCCCTTCAGCTAGAAGGGAAAAGTGCCACCTCAAGCACTCCGGAGTATTCGAACCAGGAGCTGATGAAACCACCACTCAACCTGCACCAGAGGTTAGAGATTTTGCGGACATATACCATGACGTATCCACGCGCTCTCACTTGCAGTGACCCACCGCAAAACACTACAGAGTATGGACAAGTTGACAAGGACAAATGTACGGCAATGGCTCTGCCTACCAAATGATCAGCCAACACATACCTAAACGCAGCTATCGGTGATTTTCGGACTGGATTACCTAATCTTATCATCGGGATTCCATTATTTCGAATGGGTCGCTTGGGGCGCCATCTATCCCATCCGAATCCGATTATTAGTTGGGCAATCCGGGATCTGGCTGCAGCGCCCATGTATACCACCACCGTAATCTTTTCCTCTTATTTTTCTGTAAAACGGTGAGTGCATGCTGTTGGTAAGCGCATGCTGACGTCCTTGACGTACATTGCGGGTGTTGGTGTCTTACTCTTTCCCGATGACTTCGGCACATTATTTTCCTGATGCTCTTGATCATATTCGTGATGATGATCATCAAGATGGCAATGTTGATGTCGGTGGTGGTGATTTGTACAGTTATGATAATGATGACGTCGACGATGATGATGATATTCATGTTTCGGTGCTCATTGATCTTCTTGAACTTAGAATTCGAAATCTTTCAGCTAACTTCCATATCGTGTGTTTTTGTATTCACTGCGTTTTCACGCCTCACTTTTTTCTTCGACAATAGGGTGCCTTTTGCAAGTCTATGATTCTGGTCTTCAGGGGCTTGCAGGCTGCGTTTTATTCGTATAATCTCTCCAGTTTTGGTGATCCCGCTTCTACGGCGTTCCCTTTGATCCATGCGACTACCCTTTTTTCTCAACTTTCTCGTGTGCTTCTTTCCTGACTGTTAACTTGTGGAATTTTATGCCATAAGCACTGGCGTGTTGTATGGGGAAAAACTTTTTGTTCTTAATTGCACTGACGATATTGCCTCATTGCTTGACTACTCACATTCGTGGTCTCATCAATTGTCATACGTCTCTCGTTTTCACAGGCGACTATCGTCAATTGACCGAGTTCCTTCGTCACGGAGGTTGCTGGGGATTTGAACGCTCTCGTTTGAAAATTCTTTACTCATGAGGTGCATCTGGGCTGTCAGCACGGTGAGCGGTTGCTTCACTTATATGAAGAAGCTCGTCTATTTGTCGTGAGCAATAACTTTCGACAACCTACCCGCCGGAAGGCGACATGGCACCCACCACCCTTGCACTAGCCATAGATGCAAATCCATCAAATCGCGATCAGTTACCGATGCAGTGGATGTGTCCAAAACTGTCGCTTGATTTGGAGCACATGTGTGGACATTGGCCATGCACTTATAGGTGCTGATCTGCACGTGCGTTTTGGTGGATACTCATGACGATGCTGTGAGCGCATTGACACCAGCCAACTGGCGATGCCAGATATTCTGAATGCGCCTCGAAGTACGCCGGCATCCAGGCTGAGTAAGCCCTCATTGGATACGGTTAAAGATCATTGATCTCACGTTCGCCAGACCTTACTAGCAGCAGGCAAATTATAATGTGGTAAATCTGATAGCCGACCTGTAAATTGCGTCTTTACGCAGTCTCTGGAACTTATGGATGCTCGCCGACACCTTCCGGCTGAAAGTGAACACAACGAGACTCGCACTGACCTCAGGGCGAAACTGCGTGCTAGCCTGAAGAGAGACCGTGAGTTCTAGGGGTCTCATATTGCATCGAAGATAGAAGTGGCCGCTGCCCTTGGTCACCATCGGTAGTTATTCTGTCTGATAGGGGAAACGGGCAGCAGCAGACCTGATGTAAGTGAAACTAGCTATGACGAGAGTAGACAGCCAATCCACAACTTGTCAAAACACTTGGAGCGTTAGACTGGACACTTTGTAAAGCAATTTAATCGTCCGCAATTATTGAATTTCTCACCAGTTGCTGATCGCTCTGCTCCCTTGATCCTACCTGTTGTTTAGAAGTCGAACGTGAAATCGAACTGCTGAATTTGGATAAGGCCGCGCGACCAGATCACCTTCAGATAGCCCACTCGGGGAACCTGCTCGTTTTGACGATTTACTCAAGTTAATAGTGGAATGATGGGAGCAAGAAACTGTCTCAACCGACTGGAGCCCATGTTCAGAATGCGGCAACCATAGAGGAATCACCCTGATCTCCAAATTGGTTGCCTCTGTAAAGTTGGGCTTAGAGAATCCGCTGGTGGTTGGGTTGCTACAAGCAACTTCTATTGTGACCTTGGTTCACTTGAGGTGGACCTCGGTCAATCCGATCACAAAGACCGTAAGTAAAATGGAAACATTAAAGTGTTGGTTTGGTTGCCTCTGTCATTTTTCGTAAATTGACTGGCACTCACGAAAACCAGATTCCTAAGGAACAAGCCGGGTTTCGTTGACGTCGGGGCTGCATCGATCACATTTTCACTCATTGTTGGAGCACCGTCACATATATCGGCGGCCCTACCGTTGCCTTGTTCCTCGAAATCACATGTGCCTTCCATTCGGTGAATCGATGGGCTCTTGTGAACTTTGCTTAGGGAAGATATGCTCGAAAAATGTAACTATTATCCGGGCGTTTTACATGGCAGAAATAGGGCTTACGGCAAGCTGTCGTCACCTTTCAGTGTCTCCAGCGGTGTAATACAGCTATGCCTGCTGTCACCCTTCTTCAATTTCGCTATGGACGACATTGCCCTCATCTGTGACGGCTCACAAACATGCCATGCAACACTAGACGGATTCACACTGCCTGTCAGCCGTTTCGGGTTTTGCTCTGCACAGTCACGTTGCGAATGTTTCGCCCAAGATTCGCAGGGACCGCCTCCTCCGCTGACCCTTTGTGGTGATCAACGAGAAGTCGTTCAGAGATTTAACTACCTGGCAGTTGTATCAGCGCATGTGGAATCGACGACAAAGCCTTGAACCCTACATCAAAATCTCGAGACGTTTTTGCTAACCTTCGCCACATATGGCACCGGTGTGAAACCACTCTCTGCTTGAATGGTAGAGTTTACATTGCAGTCTTACAGTTATGAAACCTAGCCCATTAGATCGGTAAACTCTAATGACTAATCACGTTCGATTATCGTTGTCTTCGCAGTGTGGCTCATCTTTGCGGGGAACATCGCGTAAGAAATGAACGTGTTCGGCGCTTTGTTTGTAGCACAGGAAGAGGGCATGAACCGCTCAGCACCCGGCTCCGATGCCTGGGCCACATGTTGCGCATTCCAGCACACCGACTCTCACGACTTGCGTTGTTTACGCGACCGAGTTATGGATGGAAAAAGAGGAGCCCAAGTGATGACTTGATCATGAGGAATAAACACCCCCACTTCGAAGTGGGCCTCGGTTGGAGCCTCTCGGCTCCCTGGTTGGGGCCCGAAAGACGATGAAGACGTTTGCTTGGATACACTTGTTGACATGACAAGGAGCCCATCTCAGTGGCGTTTGTGTTGTGAGTTTTTTGTCCCTCCCCTCCAAACATGATCTCATTTCTGATCCATAGTATAGCTTATTTGTTTTGCGGCACAATGGACGTCGGCTAGCTCTCTGGAACGATATCCATCTGTTACTGGTGGCGCAGCTGGCGTGCCTCTTGCGTCTATTTCCTCTCTCTTGTATTGCGGCACAATAGCTTACGTATTTCCCACCTCTAGCCAACATGTATCCTGATGATGATTCACAGTCCAGAGTTGCCGTACGATCAACAATCAATCGCCAACCAATTGACAGTGGACTGAAGATAATTGACTAAATATCAGCTACTTTGACAACTATTCTAGGGGCGATGAGCTTGTACCCCATTCCTGAATCGGCAGTATCTGTGTCACCAGAAAGATGTTCTCGTTCAGCCAAGCCGTGCATGCATTGTTACGCTGAGAGCGGTTTCCTTTTTCGGTACTGAAATTTAATTCTCTCTAACTCTCTCTCTCTCTCTCTCTCTCTCTGAGTATCTGAGGCACCTCATATTTTCGATTCTGATTTCCTGCGAAGCATTGTTTATCTT